TAGCTCAGACTTTTTGAGTTGCTCTTCTCTGGGGAAAAAAATAAATCTTTCTGCGTAAAATGAGAAGGAGTGTCTTCTTCCATTTCGTTGGAGGTCATAGGGCCCAGCCATGCAAAATAGACGGGATTTTAAATGCTACTGTGTGAATTTCAAAAGTTACAATTATGGTGAAGGTTCTTAATTTTGTATGTTCATTAAAGCACAGAAAGAAAGGTGATTTCTGTGCAAATCTCACAGTGATTACAAAAAGAATGCTCATCTCTGTACCTAAAGTTAAACCAGCACCACCAACCACTGTAAAATGTTGTACTCCAGATTCAAATGTTCTCTTTTTGTTTTCTTCTCTTTGTTTTTGCCTGCAGTATCATAGTTACAACAGTTCAGTACCTGTCTTCTGCGCTGCATAAGAATTTCACAGAAACAGACTTCGATTTTAAAGTAAGAATTGATTCTCAGAAAACGTTCTGACATCGTTTTAAACCAGCAGCAATAAAGGAGCAAGAGCTGCTCTCTGCATTGCAGTGTTTATCTGGGTGTCTGTGAGGAAGATGACCCGCTAAAGGACAGGGGTGGGAATCTGCTGTGGAATGCAGGGGAAGTAGAACAGATACAGAGTGAGATGAAATCAGGGAGATTGAGCCCTTTGTAAAGGCAGTGGAGCTAATGGAATGTGCTGGCTTCCAGACTGATGGCTGATGGAATGTAAACTCAGGCAATGCTCCTCCTGAAGTTGGGGTATTAATGGTCTTCCTCTCCCAAAGGTCTCTCATTCTGGCTGCTGACATCAAAAGGGGAGGAACACGGGATCTGAGACAGTGTTGTCCCTGTGTCTGATGTAGTTGAAGATGGGCAGCAAGTTAGTAGGGCAAAGCTGCCAGAATGTCCCTGGGGACATGCGCACACAGGAGGGCTCAAGTTTTTTAAGTTCTTAGTAGGTTTTAAATAATCCATTAATATCCTTAAGAGTTTAGTATCTCCACTGTAAGATACATAGTGATTAAGTTAAGTCTTGATTACAAAAAGGATCCTATGTCTTTCTACACTTGTTTAAAGCTTAGTCCTTGGAGTGTGATGTTACAAAATTCTTTCCCTTGTCACAGGTCTGGAACTCTTATTTCAGCCTGGCAGTTTTGTTTATAAACCAGCCAAGTCTCCAACTAGAGAGTGCCACACCTGCCAAGAGGAAGAAGATTCTGGATAAGTAAGGACATGTTTTGTTGGGTCCCCACCTCAAAAAAGAGACTTCTTTTTCTGGGATTTATTATGGTACTTAGGAGTGGAAGTGCCTGGGCAATAAATAAGTAGATCTCCTAATACAGTGTTCAGTCAAGTTGTTTGGTATTTTATGTTGACATAGATGTGAACTGAATTTTTTTTTTAACAATTGGATTTTTTTTTGTTCACATCACTGCCTTGCCAGTTTTTGTTCCATGGGCAGTTGTGTCTCTCTTCTCTTTCAGATATGGTGATATGAGAGTGATGATGGCATATGAGCTCTTCAGCATGTGGCAGAACCTGGGTATGTCTCTCCCTCCTCTGACCTGACAACCAAAGCCAAAGAAGCCCCCATTCCCCCATTTCTGTTGGATTTTTCTTTTCTTTTTTTTAACTTTTTGTAGCATTACAGAACACTTTGTTTCTCTGAAGAGGTGTAAAACCAGGAAGGACTTCTCTTCTCCCACCAAAACTGTTCAGCACTGTCCATCATACTTTTTTATTTGAAATAATACATTCTTAGGAATTTGAATGCTTTCTTCTCAGATGTGACAGTGGCAGGGAATTTTTCACAGCTGTAACCAACTTTATAATTTTTTAGATGATTCAAAATTATAGACCCACAGAATCCTTTAGGTTGGAAAAGACACTTTTAAGGTCATCAAGTCCTGTCATTAACCCAACACTGCCAAGTGCATGACTAAGCCACAGCTGTGTGTGTTTGATAATAAAGCCCAGCAGTGGCATACAGTAAAGCTGCTTTTTTTTGGTGTCTTCAGGTATTTAGTATGCATAACAAATTCTATGTTACTACTTTAAAAATTAAAAAAAAAAAAGAACAGGTGAATCATTAAGAGGGCAAAGGAATGATACAATTCAAAATGGATAACTTGATAATGTGGCTACAATATATTAAAAAAGCCAGAAATGAACATTTCATGTGTAGGAATGCAGGTAGGAGTGCTGTTCAAGAAAACAAAGACTACAAATGTATCATGCTGGTAGTCAGCTGAAGGGGAGCTACCTGTAAAATGCCACTGTAATCTTTGAGAAAATCTGCAAGAATTTGAGTAAGAGAAGAGAATAACGTTAGTGCCACAGTTTTTTTCATAAGTGTACTTGATTCTAGATGAGTTTCCCTGGCCCTGCCTTCTACAGCTTAAAAAAACAACCAAACACAAAAACAAAGCCAACTCAAAAGGAAGGCAAGTTGGGCAGAGTTCAAACAGCAACCAGGAAGAAGACTATGGAAGCAAGAAAATGCCTTATTCTGTGATGATGAATAAGGCTGGTCTGTCTGGCACAACTGAGATGATACAGCCAGAGCTGGTCAGAGTTCCAGAGTGTATCTGTGGGAATAGAAGATAACAGATAACCAGAAAGTGATGCACAAACTCAACTGAGAAGTGAGAAGCTGGTTTTAGACATGTTGATACAGGTATTTATCACTGAATGCTGTTCCAAACGTGGCTCTTTTGAGTTACTCCCTGTGACTGTGCAGTAACGTGGCACAGAAGAGGCTGTCAGCAAAACGCCTCGGGATTCTGTTGGAGCAGCAATTCCACTTGGTCTCAGCTCTGTTGGGAAACTGGAACTGCCACAGCACCAAAGGATGAAGAGCTCTGTAGTTCTTTGAAATCTAAATGTGTTCTATTAACTACTGTTGTTCTCACCAGCCCTTTCAAAATCTTCTTCATGAATCAGAAGTATCCCTGGCCTCTTTTCCCCCAGTTAGTATGTTTTAGTTTGGTTATTTCTGACAGTTTGAATTCCTTTGCAAGTAAAATGCACTGACAATTCTTGCTGAAGGCTTTCTCAGTGAAATTAAAAATGCTCTTAGAGACTTCACAAGGTGTAAAGCAAATACAGGTTTTTCATTCCTTTCAGGAAAAGAATGTTTGGTTTTGTAATGCCCATGCCTACTTCTTTGTACATGTCATTATTGCAGGGGTTCTCTGTTTTCTTAGTGGCAGATAACAAAGGCTTTTATGTAATTACACTTGCTTTGTGTTGTACAGGTGAGCATAAGATTCACTTTATTCCGGGAATGATTGGCCCCTTTCTTGGTGTTACGCTTGTTCCACAACCAGAAGTGCGGAATATCATGATCCCTATCTTCCATGACATGATGGACTGGGAGCAGAGAAAGAATGGCAACTTCAAACAGGTGAAAGCACTTCCCAAGCATTCCCAGTATTCCTTTTTTTTTGCTCTGTCTGTCTGCGGTGTCCAGCTGGAAGCACGGAGTTTGTATTTGTTGACCTGTTTCTGATAGTGAAGATGTTGTCAAGTAAATATATATAAAAATAGAAAATTGGAAGCATAATTCACAAAAGTATTACAAGACTCCCAAGACTGTTTAACCAGTGCACTGCAGAGCAAACTGCATTTCCCATGAACATGGAGAAGAGGAGGGATGTGCTCAGCACATCAGAGATGGGGGGGGGAATGTTTTTAAGTGCTGGGCTGTCAGTGTTCCCACTGGTTTCACTTAGATTATTAGTCAGCCATTGAATGGGCCAGGCTGACAACCAAAAATGGAGATATAAGAGTCAGCCAGTATTTTTGAAAACAGTGATCTCTGCTTCTCTGTCTTCAATTTCCAGCTAGGAAGTGGTGTTGTATAATTATATCATTAGACCGTGCTTTGAAACAGACTTGGGAGCTGTATTTATTTTAAGAAACTGTAGCAGCTCTCCTGGAAGGGTTAAGTCCAGTGACAGCTCTGCAGTTTCCACCTGCTGTGAGCTGTGATTGCAAATCAGGGAGAGAAATCTTCATCATTCTGTTTCCCAGTCGTGGTCAGGGAACTGCTAAATTTTCCACTGCAAAACAGATCCTGAAGTGCAAAGCATTGATAATGAAGGATTGGCTTAGACTGGATCCTCAGATGACAGTGTTTCATTGTCATTGTGCTGGGGCAAGTATCTGCAGAGAAGTGCTCTGAAGTAGTAAATCATCATTAAATTATCATAATTCGTGTGATTAATTATTATTCACACAGTCATTACAATGCCAGATCTAATCTATCATTCCAGGAGAACAGCAGACCTTTCCCATAACCTGATCTATTAAAGACTGTGTGGAAAAACATTATCAGGAGCTTATGCTTTTCTTCCTCTTCAACTCCCTTGATTGCTACTATTGTTATTATTTAGTACTATTATTATTGCAGTAGCATTTGATCATGGTCCTCTTTTCACTTGTTTTAACATAACAATAGAACAGTCCCTGCTCTGGCATTTACAGTTACAAGCACCTACAGTCATCTTCAAGTTTCTGGACCTGTTTATATTTTTTGTATCAAGATGAACCCTTCATAATCTTCATTTAATTTTTATGCTCACTAATGTATTCTGAACTACAGCTCCAAGAATATTTCTTAAATTACCTGTGGAGCAAATTTCCACGGTGTTTTTTATGAAGCATATATCATAACTTTCCAAGGTTAAAGATGGAATAATCATCTGTATTACTAAGAATGAAATAAATAGTTAAATAGCACAAGATAGCACAAGATATAATAAACCTTATTAACAATATCTGCTGGAACCAGGGACTTATTTGCTTTGCAGTGTAATGCTGGATAGCTGGACACAGGAATTACTGATTTCTGTCAAGTCATTGTAGATCACAAGCAAAGGGAGGGTGTTTTAATTGCGAGCTTCTCTTCACCTTTTGAATACTCAGCTGGTTGTCAGAAAATATAAAAATCCTTTTTTATTTTCTTCAGTAGCTCATGTTTTAACAAGGTTGATTTTCAGCGAGGCTGGATAACAATGCAGTCTGATTCAGGGATGAAGTCAGGTCTCCCTTTAATGATTTCAGCAGCAAGAGCACCAACTCCATTTGTGTGCCACTGGGTGAATTGCTTTTCCTTCTCATCTTTGCTTCTTTTGCAATTTGGCAGCTGAAAAACATAGAGAAGCTCAAACTATGCTTGTCTTTAAATAAAAACAAGCCATGTTCCTGCAAATGGTTTCAACCTTTGGGAACCTCTGTCTTCATTTGTACTGAAAGTGTTTTTTCTGCAACATTTCCCAGACTACTTGAAATTGTTTTGTTTAATGTTAGATACATTGATTTCTGCACTTGAATCAATTTTATGAGAATATCTGATATCAAACTTGATAATAGGATGTATTAGATTTAGGGTGGGAATTAATATATATTCAAAACATTTCTAAAATAAGAGAAACATAGTAATGCTGTTGTGGCCCTTTATATAAGTGTGAAAAGCAAATGTGTCATGTAGGCATAGAGAGGCTTGACAAAACAGGGTTTAATGAACAAATAATCTCACAATATAACGATGCCTGGGTGTGGGAAATCAGTTACCTCCCAGCAGAACCACCACAGCAGCCCAGTGGTGATGGATATTCTGTTGTGGGACAGGATTCAGTTTACCTGAGGTTCATTGGAAGTGTGTCTGAGTGATTGATTTGATCCCTCTTCCTCCAGGTGGAAGCTGAGTTGATTGATAAGCTGGACAGCCTGGTGTCCGAAGGAAAAGGTGATGAGAACTACAGGGAACTCTTCAGCCTGCTGTAAGCTCTGCCACCTTCTGCTCCTCTGTCTGCAGGGCCAGGGAGAGTCAAAGCACTGAGCTGTGGAGAGGGCACTGAGCTGTCAGCCACAGCACTGATCTCTGGAGAGGGCAGGAAAGGGCCTCCTGCCAGGTTTTCATAGCATGGCTCAGGGAAGTAGAAATACATCACTTACATCAATTACGTTTCTGAAAAGAATATAAAACCCTCAATTCTTTGTGTTCTTTCTGTGACATCTAATATCAGGCTGCACAGGTAAGTAGTTATCATCCCCCTATCAAAAACTGATTTGCTAGAGGAGCAGGTGCCCTTGTTTTTCCACAGCAGTAAATGAAATCCTGGCCTCAGCATTGTTTAGAGACACAGTGCACTGCAAGTCAGACCTTGTTGGAGCAAAGGAGATTTTCCTCATCATTTTCTTTTGCTTCTTCCAATTTTTGAAGGCCATGTTTTGGTTGGTTCAGCAGTTGCAAGTTGCTCCCTCCAGAGTCCATCATGACACTCTATTTCCACTCCCTTTCACACCAACAATTTGTACCCATAAGGATAAACTTGAAGACTTTATGTCTGACTTTACACTTAGTTATCTTTGAGTATTGACCTGTCTCCAAATTTCATTTCCAGTGATCCTATTTTATTTCAAAAGGACTTACTTTGAACTCTGACAGTCCAGAGCAGTTAATCCAAAGCTGTTAATATCCCAGTGAGCCAGAGGGATCATTAACACAATTTTAGCCATATATTCCAGACAGTTTTATGTGCCCTCCAAGAACACACCAGCCATTTGAGGCATAAACTTCTGTTTTGCTGGAACCAATACTTGTATTTTTGAATTTGCAATTGCACATTCATTCATTGCAAGCTAGATAATCCTGCCCTTCCTATATGCATATCCTCAAGAAGTATGTAAATGTATTTGGTTTGGATTTGTGTATATTCAGCCTTGGGAAGCCTGGTACCTTATGAGTACAGATAACACAAAGCTATTTCAGGGATAAAGGAAAGAAAATATCGATTTATATTTTTTTTTTAATTCACCTCCAAGAGAAATAGTGTGCAGTTCCAGTTGAAGTCATTTGTTACCTGAAATGTTAAGAATTCAAGGACTGTAGCTTGTTACTTCTTTTTAGTTGATAGTGACTGGATGTATTACCAAGAAAGCCTGGAATTCCAGCAACCAACCTGTTAGTTTATATTTGCCAGTAAGTGTTCTGAGAACAAGGTGAGGAAACAATTTGAGGAAACAATTTCACAAATTAATCAATGCTATGTGAAAAAACAGTTGAGCCTGAATTCTACTGTCCAACTACACTGCTGGAAAGGGAGCTGGCTCCCTTGGCTGGAAATCATCCAGTACAGAAGAGTTTGCCTGACATCCAGCAGAATTTCTTTCCTAGAAGTGGAGAGTCCTTTGACTGGAAATCCAGTTTCAGGAAAGTAGCATCTAAATTTCCTTTCTTTCTTCACTTTTTAAATACAATTTTCAGTGTTGTAGCTTTCTCTCATCCCTCACAGCTCTCTCCCTGAGATGGGTGCTTGCTGTACTGTCTAATTTGCTAGGCAGGAACAGGTTGCCTTTATTTCCAGTTTAATTAAATTGTGATTCAGGGTTGGTTGGTTGGTTGCTGATTAGAGATGAAAGTTTACAGAGGGATGAGCAAAGAAGAGGTATTTGCAGTAGGTTTAGACTCCTTTTCAATTTCTGACTGCAGTTACCAGTGTTTAAGCTACAGGTAATAACGTGGGAATCAAGTATTGCTGTGAGTGTTACTCTTTCATATCTTTTAAATGGCAATGTGAGGATATTTTTCCTTCCCCTGTCAATTCTGTAATCTCCTTGTCTTTGCTTCCTGCTGCCTGGAGTAGAACCCAACTCTTTGGGCCTTATCCCAGGTAAGATGGTAATTCTGTGAATTTTTTTATGAGGGAGAAACCAAGTTGCCTGAAGCAGTCTGTGTGCACTGTGCCATTCCCCTGGAAGCCTCACCTGCTGTCTTTCCATCTCCAAACAGTTTGCTGGAGAAGATTGAGCAGGAAACTTGGCGGGAGACTGGAATCTCTTTTGTTACATCAGTTACTCGCCTCATGGAGCGTCTGCTTGACTACAGGTACCTGGCACCACCAGGAATGTATTCTGAGCATAAGTTTGTGAGGACTTAGTACCAAATTCCTACAGGGAATATTTTTAATCTGTAGTTCTGTACTAAAGTTTGTTCAGGTTGCTAAAACGCTAATTCCTTCCATCATTGAAATGATCTCAACCAATTCAGCAAAACAGATGCTAAATGCAAGAATGATCTCAAAAGCCTTGGTGAACCAAGGGGTGCTGGATGCCTCCTCCAGGCATGCAGGGGTGGAGAACTTCACCTGTGGGAAGTCTGCCATGTCAGCTGGTGACTCCTGTGCAAGATTCCTCTATAAACTGGGCAGCCTTCATTTAATTTTGGACTGAAGTTTGCAGGCCTATCGTGTCAATGCAGCTGAGCTTTGACTCAGTTACCAGAAGTATTTTAACTTCAGATATATATAAACACACAGAGAGCTTTTGTACAATAATAGACAATTTGAGCCCATATAGAACTGGCCCAGATATTTCTATCTTTAGCCTACTGACAAGAGTTCAAATAAATTTTTCTTCTGCTGCTGCTGCTCATTAGAGGTGAAAACCCTGGGACTAGGCTGGGTGTTCTGCTGTCCCAAATCCTTTCCTGTGCTTTTTAGTTTGCTCTTTTCATTATCCCTACCACTTTGATCCAATCTCCCGGTTTTTTTCCTAGCAACAAGCACTCTACTGTGCACAACCAGGTATTGGAGACACACTTAAAGGGAACGCAGGGGAGCTGGTCTGGGGTTTTTTTTAATGAAATTTGCTATCAACACAACAAGGCTGGTTCTCAGATACAAACATGTAAGAGAACATTTAAGTTCTCACATCATTTAAGCCATAAAATGGAAAGTTCTCTTAGAGGAACGTTATAAGATGAAGTATATAAGTTGATGAACGTTATAAGATGAAGTATATAAGATGAATTGTTTGTGATCCAGGGAAACTCTGGAGGATAACTTCAAATTTGTTTTAAAGGGACAGTTTTTGCAGATGTTTGTTTCAACACTGCTCTGCTTTCTTAGGGACTGTATGAAAGGAGATGAAACAGAAAACAAGAAAATCGGCTGCACTGTTAATCTTATGGTAAAGATGTTTCCTTTTTCTCCTTGTGATACTGTGCAATGTTTTTGAAACTGGGTTGGGAGAGTTTGGGATGGGAATTGTGTCAGGCAAATGTAGCTTCAGAATCCAAGCACGGGGATGACAGAACAGAATGAACAGAACTGTGAGGATCCCCTGGAGGTCTCTGGTCCAACTCACTGTTTAAAACGGGGCCAAATAGGTCAGCCTCCTCAGGGCCTTGTCCAGCTGAGTTCTGCATGTCCCTGTGACAAGTTCTACAACCTCTCACACCTTTTCTTTCAGCTTTTTGCTACGTTCACTTTGAAAAAAAAATCATGACACGATAAAATCAGTGGGTTAGATCAGTGTGAATGTGAAAAGAATTATTAATTTTCTTTTCAATTAATAATGTGTTCTCTTTTCAAGAGCTTTACACATGCACAGATGCTGCTGATTGTCTTGAAGGAAGGAAGAGTCTCAATAAAGAGTAACAGCTCTCTGTCTTCCTTCCCAGAATTTCTATAAATCCGAGATCAACAAGGAGGAGATGTACATCCGCTACATCCACAAGCTGTGTGACATGCACCTGCAGGCTGAGAACTACACAGGTGAGGAAGGCTCGTGTGGGGTCTGCTTGAAATCCTGATGACGTTTTTTTACCCTCCCAGGGTTATGTAATATCTCATTCATTCTCCTGGAAAAAATCTGCATGAATCAGTTATGGCAGTTGGGAAGGGAAGGAGCGGAGGTGCAATTCTTTCTCTCAAGTGAAATACTGTTTATGCCACACAACCATATTCCATTATACTCCAAATTTTATATTAAAGTGTTCTGTGATGAAGACTGATCAAAAAAATCACAGCAGTGGAATCAAATTTAGGGGAAGATTAACAAAACCACCATTATATTATCATATGCTGTATTTCCATATTGCAGTGTTGAGGGAGCACTTAGAAAGTGTAGGGACTCTAATTCTGTGTTGTCCAAGCCCTGTTTACAGCTGCAGACCCCAAATCTGGTCACATATCTGAACATCTGACTGTGCATTTAAATCAAGTAGCTGGTAAAAAGAAACTCGACAGATTTGTACCTTAAAATCAAGTTCATAGGAAACAGCTTTGTGCTGCTATTTTAAGTAATTGAATCATTTAATGATCCTCTAAGACTTTGATTTTTTCCCTCACATTCTAGATCAGAAATCACAGACTATTTAAGAAGCAGGTCTGTGTTTATTTGCTGTCATTGATTCAGTGTTCCTTAATTGCCTTTCCAACAGAGGCCGCATTTACTTTGCTTTTGTACTGTGAGTTGCTTCAGTGGGAGGACAGACCTCTGAGAGAGTTCCTGCATTATCCATCTCAGTCAGAGTGGCAACGTAAGGAAGGTCTGTGCCGTAAGATTATCCATTACTTCAACAAAGGGAAGGTATGCCAACTTCTTCTCTCTTCCAGCAGCTTCCTTCCCTATTCCTGACTGACTTAGGGCTTGCAAGCCATCATCTCAGTTCAGTAGTCTGGAAATAACTTTGTATCAAAAAGTTTTATAACTTGATAAATTGCTTCCTGGCTCTCTGGGAAAAAAAAAAAAAAAGATGAGAAAAGGGATATGGCTATTTCATGATGGCATTTGGAATGGTTTAGGGAGGCCAACAGGACAAACAGCAAAACATTTTATAGCTTTAAACCAAGCCTTGGATCAGCTGATGTGGCAGGATGCCAGTTCCTCCGCTTTTGAGGGGTGGGATTGCATTTTGTAGCTATCTGTGCAAACTGCTGTGCTATGACTCGCTTTAGGACTTGTTTTGTGCTTAACCTACACCAGGAAATGGCAGGCAAAGCACTGTACGAGTCCCTTCAGTAAAAAAGATTTAAGTCCTTTCAGAGTCACAGTTATTTTAAAGTGATTTTCAATTAAAATGCAGTTCCATCCACTGCACAAGAAGAAAATCAATCCATTTCAATTTCACATATTCAGTGTGGATTTTCTACAGTTAATTATATTTTATTTCAATTACTGCAGAGGTAGATGGTTCAGTCCCTTGTGTTGTGGCGTTTCGGGAACATTTCAGAGGTGAACCTTAAAAGTAATATCATCTGTTAGAGTATTTTCAAATTTTTCCCTTCTCTAGGAAAATTCCTACAGCTTATGTTATTGGGAGATAACATCTGTATGTGTGCCTTGGGGTTGGTTTTGCCTGTGATGGCAGTGACAGTGGCATTAAATAAAAATGTGAGTTGGTTCATACGGGGCTGCCATTCCAGATCATTCTTTCCTAGCCCTGATAGTAGAGAGTTGCAGAGGCATTTTATACAGGACCTGCAAGAGGAAGTCAGATTCCTGTGTGAAGGAAGAAATGGCCTATTTGTGAGGAAGTTATTGATTATGATTTTTTGTGTGTGTATGCCAGGATTGTTCTTTTGTAATAACACTGTATATGGTTCTCTCTTCCATTTCAGAATTTTTCAGGGTTTTCCAGACTGCACTTAAAAAGGAATTACTGACTTGTGCAAATACTGCAGTACTGTACTGTCTGACTAGAAAAAGATGATCTAGAGAGTATGGAAAGCAAGGGAGCCTGTATTTTCAACAAAAACAGGGAATCCGTATACACACTGAAGGGGAGTAAAAACTTGACAGATGTAATTAGGCTGTAAAACTCCTAGCAGATTATAGAGTGTTAAACTCTTGAGGATGTTTTTGGAATTACTTGACTTTGTGTTTTAATCCTCCTTTATTACAAATGGTAGCTGAATGATTAAATAATCCACTTGAGCAGTGTGTATGTCACTCACACTGTGGAAGTGAAAGGCTGAGAAGCCAAATCCTTCTTTTCAGCCCTCTTCCTGTTGCTTTGTGACAGGGAACAGCTCAGGGAATGGAAGAAACTTGCTTCCCTCAACTTGTGTCTTAGTTTCTTCCTGCACCGCCCTGACATGGCCCCTCAGGTCCTGCAGAGTGGGATTTGTTCTCGTGTCTTCACTTGCATTTCCAGTTACATTTCTCATGCTGTTCCTGGCCTCTTCCACCAAGTGAGGGGGTCAAGGCAGCATCAAAAGGGTGTAAAATTTCTGCATTTGTTAGGAGGAAAATTTTCTCAGCACAGCAGTGGGGGGAAAATTGGCCACAAGACTGTCTTGTGGTGTGGCCCATGGCAGCAGGTGCAGAACTGAAGGACTCCCACTCTCAGTACTGTTGGCAGCAGCCCTGTGCTGGGAAAGAACAGGGTGTTCCAAAGCCCTTTTTAGCCTTCACTGGTCATGTGCCCCTTCCTGCTGGTTTCTGCCATGCTTTGAATTGGTTTATGGCTCAGCTGGCAGGGTGTGCAAGAGCATAACCTGAAATGAAGGTATTTTTAACTCACAGTTATGATTTTGTCTGTTAAAACTCAAGGTTTTGTAGTTGAACCAGTCTGTGAACAGAACTGTGAACCCAACTGATCATGCTTCTGCACAGCAATAGCTTGAAAACTACCCAACCCTCCTCTGTCCAGTTCACTGCCAGATTTTATTAATTAACAACTCTGACCAGCTCCCATCACACCATTGCAGTGTGTCCCCTCCTTAGAACCAGCCAGGTGCTGAGAGAGACCCAAAGCTGGGTTCCCAAAGCAGTTCATTTTTAGATCATGTGCTCCACACCCAACATTTGAAGTAATTTCTCTTGTGTAGCCGCATGTGAACCGTCTTTCCAAAGAAATCTGCACGTTGGGATGTGAGTGGATAAATAAAGGCTGCCATTCAGAAGTGTTGGTTCCCTCTCCCGGAGCCTCCTGGTGTGCAGTCAGCAGTGCTCACCTGAGAGCTGACGGTGCCACAGGAGAAACTGCAATAGATGTCACATCATTGTGCCTTACAAGTACTGCAGAACGTGCCAACAGATCTGAGGTCA